TAACAATTCTAAAGCCACGCGGAGTTTTAAACTTAAAGATCAGTTGAGGGGTACTGCCACGACGCCCGTCACCCACCCGTCACGTCACAAAGTTGACAAGTTTTTTTTTTATAATATCAAGTGACGGGAGGAACAAGTATTATCCTTCATAACCGGAACGCAGTAATGCTCACATTACTGCTTGGCGGCACAAATAGGTGTGGTGGCAGTACTTCCCTGGACGAATTCTTTCACAGGGAGATCTACAGTTACTAATACTTAGCAAAAATGCCGCCTGCTGTACTTTATTTCTAAAATACTTACTAATTACGATATTAGTTCTTAGATCTCCAATGTAATTTGTACCATGCAATACTTTCCAATCATTCTATCATTACCATCAGTAAATAAAATAGAAATAATTCAATTGAACGGTAAAGAAAGAGACATATAAAAAATATTCCAGGTCGTTAACCTCTTGCACAACTGTACTCCATTTCCGCTTCCGCAATTTGCCTAAGCTATGACTCACGGGTTTGTCTGCGGTTTAATGACAACGACAATGCCAAAGCGAAAGGTGTATTCACTAGTCAGCTCATCTAGTTTTCTACAGATGTAAAGTAGTTGAATCAGTGGTGAAGCAAGCAGAGAAAGACGTCCAAAAGCTGAAAATTATATTATTTAGCAGCAGTAGAGCTCGCTACCGCCAAGCAGTAATGTTAGCATTACTGCGTACCCGGTTTCTAAGGGTAAGACGGACGCAGTGCTGCCACTGCCCCAGAGATCTTTGCGATTTAGAGCGCTGAGTGGCACTGCAACTGTTATGGACAGGCGTGTAGCTTACCATCAGGCGCACGACTCGTTCGTCCTGTCACTTGATATAATAAAAGAAACACATTGTAATAAAATTCAAATTGAGTTAGCAAACCTATTCTTTAGCAATGTCTCTAAAACTACCTGGACTCAGTCTAGGATTCCCTATGCTTTGAGTACCAGAGCAACGAAATTCAATCGAGCAATCTAACCCGAGATATCTTTGTCCAGGCCATCAAATTAATGGATCGCCAAAATTACCTCTTTAGTGGCTAAATTGTATTTAAGCAAGTATATACAATGTTTATATTACACATCGTGTCCATACGGCGAGGGTTTGGACCGCCATGCTGGCCTAAAGCGGGTTGGACACTTCACATGTTTCCTAGGGTGACAAACCTTCTTCAACGTGTAGGTTTATACTCAATACTTATGTTCCTTTACTGTTCATGTGGTCAGACTTTGGAACGCGCTTCCCATTACTGTACACGACAGTAAATCCTTAGCTATTTTTAAAATGAGACTCAAGTAGCACTATTCATCTTCTGTTCCATCCATTTTATAGATATTATAATATGAAATATGTATTTATCTAAATATTGATATAGTCTGCAGTAATTTAATACGTTTGCTATTGTTTTTTTTTATTATTTTATTACGTAATTTAATTTTGTTTTGTTATGCACGTAAACAGGTTATTGTAATTATTGGGTGCTGTATATTTGGTCTGTAGGAAGAAATTTCTTATAGAAACAAGTACCCTTTGGTTGTGTTTTCCGTTTTACCAAATGTAAATTGTGTTTTCCTGTACAATAAATAATTAAATTAAAAAAAAAACTTAATTACAAGTTTTTAGTGAAACTTTTCAAATGGCATTAATTGCGTTTGCCACTCGGCCTAAGCAAAATAAACCGTATTAGTACGGGAAAAATTGGAATTCAAGCTGAGGTAATATCAATCGTAACGTTGTTTGGTATTAGGAAGATTTTAATATTTTGTCTTTTGACAATTTATTTTCCCTAAAACCATGCACCAGGGCACTCAGAAAATTTTGCGAAAAAAAGTTAGAAAAAAGGTGAAACACTGGCCAGTTTAATTTATATTCAAAATACAAGTTAAAATCCAGACGTGTAAGTGTGTGGATTCAAAATTTCCCCCACAACTTTTATAGGTGCTAATTTCTTATTGAAAATTGTACTTTAATACGTTAATTTGAATTCGAACTGAGGTAGTATGGGCTCTTAAGTAATAACTAGTAATAAGTTAAAGTTTTATGTAACTAACTTAGAAATTAAAGGGATGGGTATATACCGCCACATGAATTCGAGTCATCGACTACGATTACGCCTCCACAGCTCTTTACCGTCAGTACTTTTAACTTTATTTCGGTTACTTGACGTACTTAGACAGGTTTAAGGGTCGAAACACAAAACTGCGATGCGACATCGCAGAAATTTACTAGCTACATTTCTGCGATGTTAATCTTCTTTGTGTTTTTTCCAATATTTTCTTATGAATAACAGCAGTGCAACACTCTTTTTCTATTCATGTTACCTGGTTTAAAAAATACATTCAGTACGGCTGATGATTTTCGAAGGAATGGTCACCCGAACCGTGGCAGCACGATGTCTTTCCACATGAAATTGCATCGCGGCAATTCGCGTCGCAGTTTTGTGTTTCGACCCTAAGGTTTTTTTACAGCGTCCGGTATTAATGCTAGTTACAAGTGAATAAACTGTACATTGACATGGCACTGGGGTACCATGATGTTACAGAGGAAGCGGAACTAAAGGATTATCTAATCTATTGATTGTCTAATTGTATGTGGAGGGAAATTTAATTTGAAACGCAAAGGACTATTTGCATAGTTGTTCTCTATTGAATGAAAAAATAGAAAGAAGCCCATGTCAAGTCAATGACCTTAACTAAGATATTATATACAGATTTCATCCAGGGAAGCATTGTCACTGTTTTTTTATGAAACCAAGTGACTGGGCGAACAAGTCGTGCGCCTGATGGTAAGCGACGCGCCTGTCCATAACAGTTGCAGTGCCACTCCGAGCTTTAAATCGCAAAGACTTGCGGGGCACAGCCATTGCGCCCGTCACCCTGAAACAAGATGGCAGCACTTGCCTAGACGAACTGTCAGCATTACTGTGTTCCGGTTTTGAAGTAAGGGTGGTGGTAAAATTACAGGCACATGGTACTTGTCAACTTATTCCTTCCATTACGTAGTATTATAAAAAAAAACACAAACCCATTCGTAAGTACGTCAGTCGGTTTGTCAGCCGGTCATAAACAGCACTCACACTTAGTCAAGGATCTGAACTATGAATTCACAAATTCAGAAGTAATTTCACAGGTTTAGTGCAAGAATGCAGCCATGTCTAACAACCCTGATTCAATCTTAGCCCAAGCTTGACCTACTAACCTTTCCAATCCCGCTTTTAACTAATCTAGCTCTACACATAGTCACACTATACAGGCTGTCGGACCTATGTTACTAGAGATAATTGCAGTGGTAACTTAGGTGAAACGCAAGAACCTTTCGTGGTGAAATTCAGGTTACATTAACACTCAAATTTCAAATTCAGTTCATATAAATGGAAGTAAATTAATTTGTTACCCCGCGAACCCAATGAAGATCAAATCGTGTGAAATAGATGCGGTTGTGTTGAATTTTTTTTTCATGCAGCTAATATTCCATCCCTACGCATAAAATTAATAAAATAAATAATATAAACGCAACTACAGTTAAACACCACCAAAAATACTGCCCTCGTAACGAAAAAAGACACAACTACGCGTACTTTATACAGCAGTTGTGCTTTTTTCCGTTCCGAGGGCAGAATATGTCCGACACGGGTTTCGCCTCTATCTCTGGTTTGAGCCATCCAGTTGTTGATTGTTCGACACCCGGCGAAAGAATATTATATTATTTATTTTATGATTTTTTTACGGAGGGGGATGGGAAAATTAACTGCATGAAAAAAATATTCAACACAAGCGCAGCTATTTTGCACAATTTTATTTCTATCGGACTTTCGCAAAGTTTTTGCAAATTCAGTTTTATGCCTATCTATGAGGTATGTGCATTATTTCGGTTATACCGCTAGAGGGCGTTGCCGATATTTTGAATTGATTCTTAAATTACGTTGTTATAGTAGCACTTTCAAATTACAGTAGATATAGCATATATTATGCGCATTATTTATTCGCTAAATAATTACTTATTTTAGTTATTTATTCGTATTATTTATTAACTGTACTACAATGAGGCATGTTGTGCTTTCCACTTATTTCAAGTTTTCTGTTGTAGTCGTAAAGTATTATATATTGTAGTTAAATAATTTGTGTGTAAATTGGTGTGTAAAAAACCTACTGTGTTCGGAATTTTTACGGGATGAATGATTTCTATTCCATTTTATAATTTTCCCTATGGTTTACTAATAGCAACGCATATTTTTGTTATGTTATATGTGTAATTATGTATATGTTGTAATTATAATTATGACTCATTACGACTGATTGCATGAGTGTGTCTACATGAGTGTGTGTAAAATTATTAAAAATTTCATGTCGCAAGGCGGTTTACAGTGATTGAAAATGTATTCAATAACCAACACATATTATAGAAATAAAATTTTACTTCCCAAACAATAAAAACTTTATGATCATTACCAGTAACAAAATTGTGTAATCATTACCGTTAACATGTTCATATTATTCATTCATTCATTTCTTTTTTCTTTATAAAAAATAAGTGCGCATTTGACCTCCATCTCACCTGATGGAAAGTGACGATGAGGTCAAGTGTGTAGCATGCACACCTAAATAATGCCTATATTCTGACGCTCCGAAAGACCTAAAGAAACTAGAGATTATACGAGGAAAAATGTAATGGCAAGTTGTCACTTTAGCAACAGTAGAGCTCCATGTGAAACAGTTTGTCCAGGGAAGTACTGCCGCCATACCTATTTCCGCCACCAAGCAGTAATGTTAGCATTACTGCTACGTCTCAGGGTGACGGGCGCAGTGGCAGTACCCCTCAGATCTTTGTGATTTAAAGCTCTGAATGGCACTGCAACTGTTATGGATAGGCGTGTAGCTTACTATCAGGTACACGACTAGTTCTTCCCGTCACTTGATAGTATAAAAATTTACAAAAAGTCATTCCCGAGTGTGGATTTAATGGAAAGGAAACTTACCCGGCTGGATACGCAACGAGCTCAGTATGAGGGTCGCAGTCTAACGCTGCGTTACTGCCCACAGTTAACCCGAAGACGCTCTCCAACTTAATCTGAAAAGATTGAAAACAATATGTTAGGAAGTGCATACCATCAGTTTTATCGCCCGCAAGCATTGACTTACAAATAAATGTCCCAAGACCACGAAAAAATGTCCCAAGTCAACCTATTTAAACGTAGAGACATGTAAAGGAATATGAAAAAGCTAAAACGTTGAATTTAAATTGTAATGTCATCGCAGTACTGTCTACTTTTACTTGCTTCGCTGTCAGTCGAACAAACGAAGACTAAAGCGTGAATGACGCTCTGTATACGATTTTAACGCCCTATAAGTTCGGACACTTTTTAGCGCGGACCCGACGTCCATATAATTGTAAGTCAATGCCCGCAAGGCATTTTAGAATCTGGATTACACTTTGACTGTACTCCAAAGAGTCAAAGTCACCACCTGTAAGCTAATAACTCGTCGAGACTAATTGAGTGAGCCCTAACACGATAGTTCTAATGTAAGTAGGTGAAGAGTTAGGTAGTCTGCAGACTATCCTAATTGTAGCGTTAGATTTGGGTTACCACATTATTATAATGTCATCGGATTTTCACACTATAACAAACTTTAAAACGAACGAACAAGTGGAAATAAAATAAACATTCATTTTATAACAGAAATTCTTACACTAACAACAAAATGACCTGCTTAAAATGGCTTATGTTCATAGCTAAAAACCATCCTGATTAAATTAGCCTTCAAATAAAAAAAACCGCATTAAGATCAGTGCATCCGTTTGGGAGTTACGATATAAAGACAAAGCTTCAAACATATAACTCCTCTCATTTTGCGTTTAGGGTCAAAAAAGACTTCATCATTAACCTATTTCTACATCGCACTGCTGGGCACGGGCAAAATACATAGGAGCGTTCCGTTCAGCTTATTCCGATTACTACTACCAAAAATATTTCCAAAGAAATGTCAGTTTCTAAAAAGCAACCCCTAGAGTTTCTAACTCTTTCTTCTCAAGGGAATCTGCATTACGAATGAGTAGTAAACTTCAATCAATTTTTTTTTAAATCTTTTATTTAACCAGAGCTTTTATCGCTTAGCGATAATTACACCTCCATCGTTACTTATTCTTAGTTCTACTTACCTATCTATTTTTAATTCAATCAATTTGATGATCGCAACTTGTAACTTGCCACACGCAAAATAGGCGCTTTGTCGTCGAGTTGCGGACACCAGCCCGTTGCACCAAGTACCAAGTGTAACTTGCTTACTTGTAAAATAAAGATATCTCGAATTTGAATTGTATTTTGAAATTGGGCAAGGTAGAGGCTTATAAAGACTAAGGACGGTCCATAACGCACTTAAAAATATCACACCTGTCTCCCAATGAGGTAGACTTGCCACATTTCCGACATACCAGTCCAGTTTCGCATACTTTGTATCACGCACACTTGTTTAAATTAAATCCAAAACAAAAAGTTACCAAATTACAATCATGTAGTTACACAATTACACTTCTCGATTTAATAAAGCAATTTATATAACAGTCAATTTTGATTGTTGTTTAAATGTAAACACGACTTTCGTTTACATTTAATCGACTTTTAACTTTCACTGTATCGATAATCATATATAGTGAACAATAGATCGACATGATATTATACTCGTGTTGAATAATACTAGGGGACCTTTTTTACGTTTAATAATTACAACAGGTGGACGGCAATAATAATTACCCTCTGGTAATTATCATTACCGTCCTGAATATCATTATATTCCGATCTCTATCGGAATAGACACAGTGTATTTAATATAAAGTTACCATTTCGAAATTTGAACAGTCCGGACAAAATTGCAGTGAAAGAAAGAAAATAATTCTTCGGGGATGTTCGTGGAGGCGCACGAGGATGTTTTCCATGCTATAATGACTAGACGCTGCGCCTCCATGCTAACCCGCGTCCCCGATAGCACCACCGGACTCCTGAGTGTGTTCATTGACCGGTGGAAATCCCCGTTGTTACTGGGATTCCGTGTAACAAGTTTTGTGTCAGCACAGTGCACTTGCGTAGATAAAAAATCGAGTTATACTGCTTTTCCACCGGCGAGGCGAGACAGGCGAGGCAGTGGTTGGTGAAACTATAGGCGTAATACCAGTGCAATTGTTTACCTGTCGTGTACCACCAGGCAAACGACTTGTTCGTCCCTAGACTAAAAACGTAGGTATATTCTTCTTAGTGTGGGGCATCTCTACGAAGGTTGGCGACCATAATGGCTAATCTCATTTGAAGCTGCCGCACGAAAGAGGGAACGTGTGCTAAGGTGGAACCAGTCTCTTAGATTCTTCACCCACGAGGTTTTCCTTCTGCCACGACTACGCTTTCCTTGTATTTTTCCCTGCATTATTAGTTGAAGAAACCGGTATCTATTGCCCCTCATTACGTGGCCAAAATATTACAGCTTCCTTTACAGTTCTGAGTATTTCCAATTCATATCATAAATGTACATCAGATTAATTATTGTAATAAATAGAAAACATTCTCGTTTTAGTCGTCCGTTTTAAAGAGGCGGACATCCGATAAAAATTCCATGCGTTCCTACAAGGTCACAACAGACACCTGATCCAAGATGGCGGTCGTCCTTCGCAAGGATGCGCGCGCGCCGTACCAAGGTTGCCTCACAACCGGTTATATTGTAACATTATACGTTTTCCGCTATAGTTTTGATTATGTGTTTAGTGTGACGCCTTGCCAAGACTGTTGTAACATATGAGATGAAGTGTATTGTAATGTGAGATGGATATTATTTTTATGGATGGATATTACAATAAAACTGTCACTGGTGGTGTTGTTGTTTGCCTATACAAGATTCAGATCTCTTCGATATTTTAACCGAATCGTTCGATTGCATATCGTCCTCGAATCGAAGGGCGCTTCCGAGCTATTCAGAACGTTCCGAGTTAAACGGTCGATTCGAATTCGTATACGACATCTTTACCCAACAGCGTTTACGGAGTTAGTCAGTGAAATGGATTACAAGAAAAATTAAAATCCTTCTATATACATTTTTAAGACTTTAAAGGACTAAAATGTAGGAATGCATATGCAGACTTTATTTAAAATAATAAGAGATGTCCATATTACATTGTTGCTTTGTAAACAATAGGACGTTAGGTAACTTTCATTCGATAACTGTGTTGCGAATAACGTTTGTAGCCTTTGCCGGTCGAGAAGTTCGAGTAATCGTACGGGTGTGACGTCATTTCGGTTCGGTTTCGAATACGGCAGTTTAACGTTCGTTTAGGGCGTGTTGTGAATAAAAATGAAAAGAAATCGGTTGACAACTGAGTTATCGTAAAGTTCTGAATCGAACCCCTGCCTAAATGTCTTAACACACTACACTACTGTTTTAAGGCAATTTATTTTAGGTTCAGCACTTCAAATCTAAACACATAAACAATTTAGAAGTAATGTTGGCTCCAATGCTATTTTGAAAGAGTTCGACCAGGGAAGTACTGCCACCTTACCTATTTCTGTTGCCAAGCAGTAATATCAGCATTACTGTGTTCCGGTTTTGAAAGGTAAGGTGCTGGCGAAGTTACAGGCAGGATTTGTCAACATACGTCTCAGGGTGACGGGCGCAGTGGCAGTGCCCCTCAGATCTTTACGATTTAAAGCTCCGAGTGGCATTGCAACTGTTATGGATAAAAAAAACTTATTATTATTATAAAAAGCCCGATATTTGCCAGCCAAAAACCAAGAAACCGTTGTGTCAGCGCACGTGCGAAGATGAAAAATCGAGGTATACTGAGATATTACTGCTTGGTGACAGAAATAAGTAAGGTGGCAACACTATCCTGGATAAACTCTTTCGCAAAGAGCTCTGTTACTAAATATTATTTATATAAATTAAATAAGTATTTGTTTAAAGTTATCTGCCGTCAAGCAGTAAGGAGAGCATTTTTGCGTTTCGGTTTGAAAGGGTGCTGGTGAAATTACAGGGCACATAGGATTTGTCAACTTATGTCTCAGGGTAACGGGCGCAGTGGCAGTGCCCCTAAGATCTTTGCGATTCAAAGCTCCGAGTGGCACTGCACCTGTTATGGATAGGCGTGTCTCTTACCACCAGGCGCACGACTTGTTCGTCCTCACTTGGTATTATAAAAATAAAAAAGCTTCAAATGCCATCAGTTTGTACGTGCTTGTAGGGATGCCGAAAGATCCCTGACAGATGGTTGTGACGTCACGAACACTTATTGCCATTTCTTTCTAATTTCTTATATCCTATTGCGTACACCCATTACATTTTTTAGTTTTCGACAATTACCACGAATTCGTTACATTTAACGCAGTCCTAAGGCAAACAAATTTTAAAGACTCATTCAACCCAGCCACTATCAGCTGATCGATGGTGTGTGGGCAGCCTGAGCGTGTGGCAATATTGCGACAATGCTGTCGCTCAATGAATGGATAGTTACAAAACGTCGTGAATGAAATGATGGATGGTTTATTACTTGTTTTTGTGAAGTTGGTACATAAACAAGACTATGTTTCTTGTGTGTTGAGCGTATATCGTAACTTACAACGCTAATGGACATTGGAAATAAATAAAACATACTAATAATATACTTACTTACTCCACTGGCTCAGAGAGCCAAAATGAAAGTAAGTAAGTAATAATATACTATTACCAAAGTTATATTATTCTGTGAGTTTTTAAATGACGATTTGAAAAAATGGAAATATGTAAAAATTTTAATTAATTTAATTTTTTTATTGAATTGATCATTGGTCCGCTGGTTCGTTCCGTGGCTTAGTTGGTACAGCGTCTAGCACGCTATGCTAGAAGACGTCGGTTCGAATCCGGCCGGATCGAAGGAATTTTTTCTGAGTGTTCGATCTTTGTATTTATTAATAATTAGTTTTTAATTATTTCTTTTACAGTGTATTGAGTCATAAAAATTGCAATACCCTCGTGCAGGGTCATGATCTAATACCTAACCTAACCTTAATACTTAGCAATAAATGTACATACATATATACACAAGCTCACGTCCTA